CTAAAAGCCATTGAGGAAAACTGAAATCAGAAATTTGAAACCAAGAATGATCTTTTTAATCATTTGGATTTGCAATGGAGTGTGTCAAACTTTGTCATCTAAGTGAGAATGTGAAGGAAGAGCTGGTTTCATCTTTCCCAGAACAAAGGTAATTACTGGAAATAGAGCAGTAACTCCCTGATGCAATCTAACCATGGAAATGCCTCTGTTTTGGCTTGGTTGAAAAGATTCTTATCACTTCAAATTAAATTGAGATAAACAGAATTAAGGCAAGCGTTCATTTTGGTCTGGAATCATGCTTAAGCTTAAAATGCAGAACGTTTCTTTGTAAACTAGCCACATGTTTCTTTGGAACATGTGACACAGAACAGCATTTCTTTTTTTTTTTTTTCCCCAAACCAATTGTTCATGCAAATAGGAAGAGATTTCCACTCCAAGAGTGGTTCCTAACAAGACACATCATGCTGTCATACCTCAAGCTGGTAGGACAGAGCTTGTTTGCACGTAACATTTGTGACCCTGCACTGCAATCCGTCAGCTACTCGAGTAATCACAGCACCATTAAAACACTTGAAGTAGAAAACTGGAATTAAAATAGTGTTTTATATAACTGAGTTTTTCCTGAAACCAAAGATATTGAAAACAACAACCTATTGTTATGAACACTGAAAAGATCTTTAACATCTAGCAGTACCCATTCTAAGCTCTGGATGCCTGTTTCCAGCAAGCTCAGTCCCTGCCCTTCTCTTTCCACTGGAAGCAGGTGGAACTGTGCAGTCATCAGCAGCTGATAACGACACCTTGAGAAGCACCAGGTCACCTTATTAATTAGCTTTGCTGTCATTCCACAGGCATCTGATAGCTAGAAAACCTGTTTCCATTTTCAGTATATTTCAAGACAAAACTTTTCTACTTACAGCTCCCTTCTTTCATACATGGACACTTAGGAATGTCCTTCCTAAATGTTCCTATTTAGGAAGAAGTATGAATGCTTAAATTCCTAATTCCATACATAGCACTAAGCCACTCTTTAAAAACTTGAGAAAGCTGTATGAAGAGCCAAAGCTGCTAACTGAGGCACTTAGGTGAGGTAGCACTCCTACTCACCAGCCTCACCTCTTTGCTGCTGAGAAATGGACACTGATGAGCAGCAACCACAGAATGTTTGCAAAACTGCCCTCCTCCAGTATGCTGCCTCTCTCCAAGTCACTGGGACATTTTGACCAGGAGTTAAAGTTTGAATTAAACCAGATTTCTGGGTAAGCTCCTGCGATTACTTCTCAAAATTATGAGCTGTGAGAATTAGCAAAGGTAACACTACTACTTAAAAATTAAAATATCTCAAGGCTGATTAAGCTTTCAGGGATATACTTCTGTCTCATTGGAGCATTAAATAAAAATTCTGTGTCAGTCAAGAACAGAGCTGCAGTTCTCCTGCAGCTCTTCAAGTTAGAGTAGACATTCCACTGAAACCATTCATTTATGCATGCTACTTACTCACAGATTTATAAAAGAAATACATCTATGCTTCAGTGTATCTTCAAATCCCATCAAGCCAAAGAATGAACAGAAATAGCCTTTGTAAAAATATTACCTGAGACATTTGTATATTACCTAAGACAAGAGAAGATAGAAGTATCACGAGTTCAAATCAGTTGCCATAAGCTCCGATTTAAATCCCTCAATTAAAAGTGACTTAAATAAATAGAGTGCAATACTCTATCTCAATCCAGCCCCCAGGTCAGTTTTGTCACCTAGTAACTTTGGTCTTTTATTTCATCGTCATCAGTAACACTAAAAGTCATTTTCCAGAGGCCTAGAAATCTGAAGGTTCAAAATGTGGCACACTCAGATGTGTTCTGCACTTGGGTACTGGCTGGCAACACTGCTCAAGCACCTGGAACCAGATGACATGGCCCACTGAAACAACAACCCTTTTCAACACTGCAAAGCTCTGTTTCAAAGGATATGGGTGCAACAAGCAAGCAATATTCAACCTACAGAAATAATGATAGCAGCTTTTAGACCATTAAAAATATTGATTTATATAATACTGTGAAAAGTCACACGGAGACTTCAGTAATCTGCAAAACAAAACGTATTTACAAAATAGCTCATTCAAAACCAAAGACAACAGTACAAATACCAAGACTGAGCACCTTCCTATGTCAGCATGACCAAGTGCATGCCCTACTTCAGGGGTTCACCTGGCCCTCTTCCTCAACTGCACTCATCATTGCACTGATAATTAACTTTTTGAGTAAGAGAGCAGAAAACGGATAGGAAAATCATTTGACTACTAATGAGATATTAATATTAACCTTAATGCAAAACAGAAGAACAGTAACTTGCAAAAAAAAAAATGTTGAATGTTTTAATGCAGTTTTGAATCATAATGAAGAATTAAGATTTTACATCTATAAACAAATTAGCAGAATAATAAAAAGTGGTTCCACATAACTTATAAGTTCTTTTTCCAAAAAGATGGTTTTCACAGATTTAGGCAAGAAATAAGATGCTGCATTCCGGATCTTTCTGATTTAAAAGTACATAAAACTTGTGAAAACTGATGTGCATTATTTGAAAGACAAAAGCTTGATTTTGCCCAGTGATGAACATTCTGTGAAGTTCTGAATATTCTGCACAATACTGAAACTGTAACTGCAACTCTTCTCCATTTTATGAAATGTTGGACATTGTTCAATGCTGAAAAATCTCTCTCTAGAATATCCAAACCTATTAAACGTTTCTCACGTGTTTAATCAGCGCAGTACTGTTCACTACCACTGTTCATGTGTGATTTGCTTCAAGGGAAGTGGAAGCTGGGGTTTAATTTTCAGTACAGTATATAAAATTAAGCGAAGAGATAGTTCATATCTAGTTGAGTATTCGCCTGCTCATAAGAACGTGGCTGTAGCACCTTGTTTGATATTTCTTCAAAAATGAACGCATATAATTGTCCCATTCTGGTGCCAGAGGTCTGTTCCTCTGGTGATATAAAAAGTTTGCAGCAATTATTATCAAACTACATAGAGTCTCATGGTCCTGTATTACATCTGTATACTGGAGACATTTAGTATACTGGAGACATTTAAGCAGTCGATTCAGGCTAGCAGGACCAAAAGCAGTGACCCTCTCTCCCTCGCCTCACATAACTGACGGTCGGGCCATCGCTCAAGATGTTACACGCAAGCTCTGCTACAGAAACTGCTTGTGCTGGCTGGAGAGAAACTTCTCTCTCAACTGAAAGAAAATGTGAGCCTTTTTCCTTAAAGAAGAAAATCTGTCAACATCAAATGGCTTTAAAAATCCAGAAAAAAATAAGTGAAAATAAATGCTGACACCATCTTTAACCCTCTTTATCAGGAGACTTAAAGCTCTGCAGCCACTTCCCTCAACTTCACTAGTTCTGGTATTTTAAGACTGCTTCAGTACAGTTCTGTATATAACTTCTACCTCAAGAAAAAAAAAACAGAAAAATACACTATGGAATTCAAGATGAAGCTACTATGATGGCTCATACTATAAAGATATTAGACTCATTTTCCATTACATACCTTGATCTTCCAATTCTAGGACTCTAGTTTCCCTGCAACTATTCAATCCCATCCCATCGCACTGCAACGCTTTCACACGTCAGCCAACAAGGAACCCAATTAACACATCAGCCCTGAACCGTGTTGTAGAGGACACGAGCACAGTTACAGCTTCACATATTCCAAAGAATGAGATAAAAAGTTCCAATTACTTATCTAATGGCAGCCCAGCATAAACTTTCCCACTGTAACAGCACACTCTTAGCTTACCCTCACCCTTCATCTTCCAGTGTGATATGTCAAACAATTAGGGGCAGGATCTCCCTCTAGCTAAAAAGAAGTGCCTGACTGAAGCAGCCTTCCTGTTCTTTTGAAGATGTCAGCTGCCATTTGCACTTACATAAATAAGCAGCAGTTGTGGTATAACACCACACTGCCAGTGCAAAAAAGGCTGGGCACAGTACGGAGCAAAAGCAGAGTAAGATCAGTGGGGAAAAAGAAGGGAGGTCTACATTAATTATCCCGTGTACGACAGTATAAGGACTGCAACAGCCCCTTGCCACAGCTGAGAACACAAAGGTAACAGATGATGTTTACTTATCATATTGCTCCATTAGCCTTAAGTGTTAATTATGTTAAGGATCACATTAAGTATGATTGTCTTTCCTCTCATGTAAGTAAACAGTACTTCAGCCAGAGACCAAAAGTGCTTTTTCCAGGCTACAGAGAGATTCAGCGTATCTTGACCAACATTCACTTTTGAGGTAGTACTAATTTACTTGGTATTGCTGGCTCAAAAAAAACAAAAAAGAAAAAAAAAAAAAAA